GTGTAAATGCGTCAACAATTACCATAATGTAGGAGTTTCCTTCGGATGAGGGTGAAATTGGTCCTTTGGTATCAAATGAGATACGATGGTTAAAGTACAAGCTTTGTCCTTTAAAATCTTGTTTTTGTGCTATTTGTTTTTGATTTGGGTAAGGTTTATTTAGTTGACATACTATACAGTCATTGCATAGTACTTTTATCCAAATTTGTGCATTTGGGAAATAAAAATTTTGTATAAAATTTGAATATGTTTTTTCTGATCCAGAGTGTCCTTTAATATTTTGTGTATGTGAAATATTAAAAGCTATAAGAATCATACTTAAAGGGAGACATGGAACTGTAGATTCATTTAGGTTATACTCTAAAAGGTCTGTATTTTCGTTAATTGTTGTGTTGTTAAATTTGCGAAAGTATCGGAGGAGTGTTTTGTTTCCTAGAATGGTTGAATCTGCTTTGATAGGTTTAGTTTTATATTTGTGCCATGATTTTAGTTGTCTAATTATCGGGTCAAGATTTTGATATTGTTTCAGTGTTGAAATTGTAATCGTTTCTGTTGGAGGGAGAAAAATGTTTTCAATTTCGAATTTAGATAAGGGTATTGTATCAAGTGGGTCGTGAAGGTCAAAAACTTGATTTATTGTGTATTTTGAATCATTTGTTTGTGGTCCTGATAAATTTATTTTATCAGTTAAATCTTCTTTTTCAATTAGTGGAAAATGGTCTTTTTTAGGCGGGTGTTGTTTTGTTCGTTTTTGTTGGGTGTTATTTTTGATCCATTGAGAATATGGGATTGGTTTGAAAGTTGATGTTCCAAGTAGATCAACTTCATAATGATTATTTTGACAATCTAAATAAAGTGGGAAATGTTGTAAATTATTTATTTGTGATTGTTCAATATCAGTTTTTACTGCATATTTGCATTCCAATCGGGGTGATGTTTCGTTTTCTGCAAGGTAGAATTTTATGTTTTTGGGTATTTCAACTGTTGTTTTTCGTGTAAGTAATTCAGGTGGTGTATTTCGACTTAAGGTGTCTGGTAATGCAAGATTTTTTCCTGCAGTCCAAACTATATGTAAGTTTGGAAATTTCATTAGAATTAGTTGAAATCTGTAAACTCGGTGGTTTGGGTTAGATTTTTGTGTAAAGAGAAAGATGATTGGTTTATGGTCTGTGAATAGAACTGTTGGATGTTTTGATCCAAGTATCAGAAATTCATATTCTGTCAGTGTATATATTATGGCTGTACATTCTCTCATTAGAGTTGAGAGTCGTAGCTCTGCTTGAGTGAATAATCGAGAATTTGCTGATATGAGGTTCATTTTATTTGTACCATTATGTGATTGTAATAGTGCTGCACCGATGCCAAAGTTCGAAGCATCGCACATTGCATAAAATGGTTGATTTGAATCTGGAATTGTGTTTGAAATTTGTTCAGTTAAAAGTTTCTTTATTTCTTCAAATCGTGTTTGATTTTCTGTGTTCCATTCAAAATTATTTTGTTGTCTAAGGATGTTATAAAATGGTCGTAGATATAATTGCATTTTATAAACATATTTACTTAAAAAGTTTAACATTCCAAGAAATTCTTGGATTTTCTTTTTATTTGTTGGTGGTTGAAGTTTTTGAATAGCGTCAATGCGTGATTTCAATGGAGTGATTGTTTTTCTTTCTATATTATGTCCTAAGAATTTAACTCTTGTCAAAAAGAAGTGTGATTTATCGGGGGCGGCCTTCAGATTTTCGTTCTGAAGTATTTGGTGATATTTTTCTAAAACATTGAACATCTCGTCTTTTGTTTGTGATTGCATAAAAACATCGTCTAAATAGGTGATTGCGTTTTTCTTGAGTATTAGTGGTCTAAAAATTTTGCTCATAAAAGCTGAAAATGCTGCTGGTCCTATGGATATTCCATAGAATAAGCGGTTGAATTCATATTGTTGGTTTCCGATAACAAATTGTGTTAAACGTCGTGATTGTTCATCTAGTGGCATTTGATTGTATGCACTATTCATATCGGCGGTTGTAAAGTATTTGCCGTTTATTTTTGTTAAAATAACTTGTATTGGTTCAATGGGCCAATTACATTTTGATTCATCTATAAGTGAATTGAGGTATCTAGCATCGAGAACGATTTTTAATGATTCTCCTTTAGCTAGAATGATAACAGGGTTGATAAATGTGTTGCCTTTTGGTTGTTCTTCTTTGTTTACTGGTGATATAATGTTGTATTGTTCTAAAATGTCGAGTAATCTGTTTACTTTATCATGTAAGTGAATTGGTACTTTACTTGCTCTCTGTTTTTTGAAAACTGCGTCTGGTTTTAACGGGAGATGTAGTGATGAACTGATTTTTCCAACATCGAATTTTGATGTTGCATAGACTGATGAATATTTAATTAGCTGTTTGGCTAATTTTTCGAATTCGTCTTGTGTTATTTGTGAATGTTGGAAATTAAACATTGTTAAAAATTTTTGTTGGTCCTCTGTGTAGTTACTTATGTTGAATGTAGGTTTGAAATATGGAGTTTTTGTGAAATAATCCGTATTTCTGTTTTCGTTACTTATTATATTATTTATAGATAATTCTTCATTAAGAATTGTAGATTGGCAAATATCTAGTAATTGGAGTATATTATTTACGCGATAGGCTTTTTCGTGTATTGGTGATATTGTAGCGTTGGTTTCACAATATCCTAAAAGTCCTAAAGGTAATGTTACTTGGTAAGGTGTGTTGTTATAGACATGTAAGGAAATGATATCGGAATTCGAATTTTTCAAATATTTTATGGATGAGATTGTGATTTTGAAAAATTTGTGAATAGGTTTGAATTCAAATTCTGACATATAAAATTTTTGTTTGTTTTGTTCTTTATCATATTGGTGAACTTGTTTGATTGAAAAATTATAGATATTTCCTGATAGTGGTTTTAGGTGTTTAAAATCAGCTTTACTCAGTCTGGAAGTGGGAGAGCATACCGTGGATTTTTCTGTGAATATTTTGTTAAGATGGCTCAAGTTCCCTTCAACTTGCCTGGTTTAGTTTAGTTTTGAAAGGATTGGAAAAATTATTGTTTTGCAAAGTTACGTTTACGAGCTCTTGTAGACAATTTTCTTCTAAATTAATATAGCCAAATTAAAGTTCGAACAGTTCAACGAAACAACAAACTTTTAAACCCAACAACTAACTTTTTGAAACAAGTATTTCAACCAAATTTTCCAGACAATCTAGTGAGTTTAGTTATCCACGATTAGTAGTCGTGGATCACACTGATTATACACCAATACAACCGCACTGTACTAATCGTCCTAATTGGAAGCTCAGAGGAGAAATGAGTTGGTACGTACCAATGTAGCCTTTGTAACTAATTTCTCGCTTTGGTACATTTTACTGAATTTTAATGGTACATTGTTTAATTTTTCTATGGAAAATGTTCTATGTGCCGTATTGTGGAATATTTTCGTTTCTTCGCAGTTTCTCTGATATTCATGATTTTTAATGAATTTAGTGTTTTTCTAGAGAAGATCTTTGACCTTCCAGTCTTTTTTTTTTCGTTACTATTTGCCCCCGGCCTTACTCCCTTCTTGCTATCTTGGGTCTTGATTTCCCCTGGGCTGGATGGCACTGGGATCCCTCCAACCGTGACCGAAATGAGGCTAGATCTCACGGCCATCGTGTTAAAGGCCGCTCTTTTTTTTTCATTCGACAACGCGATCCTTAAATTAGAGCGATATATTTTCTTCAGTATCGAAATGGTTCCAAATTGAATTGAGGCAATGAGCTTATTGGTCTTTTTACTTCCATACTCGACTCAAATTTAAGCACTTAATTTTATATCAGCCTTGAACTCATAGGTTCGCCAATATTTATTCAACCAGAAATTTTTAGATATCACTTAAGGGGCAGTCGGAACATTCAAGGTTTTGCGCTGATTTGAGCAGTCTTGTTCACAATTTATTACAGTAACAATGCTGGGAAATTAGTGCAATGCTGGAGCATTGTTTATATCATGAAATTTGATCGCGTCAACTTATTCTACTGTTTAACAACCATAATTGGGTTAACTTATTTTGTTGTCAAAACTCAATTTTGGCATTTTTTGATTTTTTGACCTTAAAATAGTGAGAGGGGAGGTTTTTCATGAATGAAAATGAAATTTTGTTTGAAAATATAGTGCGGCATCTTTCTGAATGAAGAAATTATATAATAAACTATTTGAGAGCTCTAGGTGTCCGCTCTCAACTGCTCGTTTTATACGTTACACGTGGCGAATAATCACGCTCTAAAAATTTTCAAATTGAATTGAGGCAGCTAATTGATCTTATTAATTCTATACCCTACTCAAATGTTAACTCTTTAAACTTTGAGATATCAGCTTAAAATTCATAGTTTTGCCTAAATTTGTTTTCCAAAATTATTCGAGACTAACTAAAGGGCAGTCGGAACATTCAGGGCCTCGCCTTGATATACGAGCAGTCTTTTTAATCTAATTGGTTTATATTTATATTTAATCTTGGTTTATTATTTTCATTTCGAGAGTTATGTTCATAATAGCAGGGGTGGATCTAGAATTTGATCGCAGGGAGTAGATGTTCTAAAATATTTTGACCTATTTTGTCTATTTCATAGGTCATATAAGAATCTTAATGCGGGCTCTCTTCAAAATCCCAACAGACCCAATTTAAGCAAACTTACTCGCCACCGGCAATTCTTACCCAAATTGAGCCAAATTAACACTCTGACCAAAAATTAGCGCGCGCTTTAAAATTTTGTATGTATTGGCGTCTTAAGAAAAATTCAACTGTCGTTTAAACTGAAGTAGGGGCCAAAGATTGCTGCGAAGATTTACAATTACTGTGAAGCGGAAGTCTGCAAGCAATCTCCCACCTCACCTGGACCGGCCCCTACGCGATAGTATTAGACAAGACAAGCAAAAAAACTAGAGGTTGATTTAATAGTTATTCAAAAATCGGAACCCACTTGACTGCGTTCCAGTTGAGTTAAATGACCGAATTCAAACTGATTTACTGGCCCATGGCGGGTAGAGGAGAGTATATCCGACTAATGTTAGTTCTAGCTGGAAAAGACTGGCAAGAGGTCAATGACCCCACTGAGGTTGTCAAACTGACTAAAGGAGGCCAGACACCTGGGTTTCCAGCCTACGCTCCGCCGGTGCTGGTGCATAATGGGTCCCTCACGATAAGTCAGACACCGTCCATACAGGTTAAAATGGTTTGATTCGTCAAAATATAACAGGCGTTCGGTAAAGGTTCCGAAGTTCTAAGAAAAGATCTGTGGTAGTCAGCTCGGTACCGCTACAACTTGCTACAAAAGAATTTTCGCTAATTGAAGAAAACAGCAACTCGCAAAGTTAGAAATTTGGTTCGAAATTAGGCATTTGCAAATAGCAATTACTTGCTCCGCTGCACCTACATTCGCCACGATTGGATTGGTGTTATGCGCGTGAATCAGTGTTTGACGCTAATTGTTCCGACCATTTGAAAAATGTGGAGGAACTTTGTATTTGGGTGTGTTTTCCACGAAAAATCAGGTACCATAAAAAATCATTGAAATGGGTCGAGTTATATATCATTTATAGCCCTTTCAGTCGTGACTCGAGTAGAAATAGTTTTCGAAATTTTTCAGCGCGATTTAAAACATTTTTCTACAGAAACTGTTTTGCAATTGGCCTGTTTGACTATGACTGTCAAAAATAACTAACTTCTTTTTTTATTCAGATCTTACTATCTCACCACACAAAAAACGTAATTTGAAAAAAAAATGTATTTTATAAGACTATTTTATAAAACATTTTGTGCTAATTTGAACAGTAACCGGCTATCTTTGTTTAGATTGTACTTGAAGTAATTTGCTCAATTGATTATTTGTTGTTGCGAGGTGTCGTATTACGAGTTCGCTCATGGATGATTTTTTGACATGAAAACAATCGAACTGAAAAAAAAAATGAGCGAAAAAGCTCGATATAATTCTTAAAACATCCTTATGAGTTTATTATTGGATTATTGCTTCCGATATAAAGAAAAACTTGCATAGGCTCCGAACCAATTATCATTACATATACGTTGTAGGAGTATTTAGCGGGGCTGTTTGGAATGCTTCCCGAATCTGCTGCAGAAGTGGCCGTCGCTAGATCTCTCAATCTGACAATGCATGATTTTATTTTGGAGGGAAATCTCAACTATCACATGAAGGATTTCCACGCTGACTACTTGGACCAGAAAGAGTACACTGAACCCTTCATCAAAGAGTTCTGCGATAAGAGACTCTTCTTGTTTTTTGACTATTTTGACAGAGCTCTGAAGCAGAACGAAGGAGAATACATGTTTGCAGGTACAGTTATTCAGTGTATGCTACGATAGAGTTCAATTAGATCTTAACACTATCATAGAGGCTGGAGACATTTGAAAGTGCTTTTTTAATTAAGAGTAATGAACGTAGTGAAGACTCTTAAATAGCTCTTGCTGATTTTTTTTCAGAAAAGTCTTAAAAGTCTAATAACTACAGATGTGCATTCATAGATATTAATGCATTTATGATTGCACTTAGCTATACATGCACTTTTTGAATTCAGTTGAAATTCATCTGCTTAAAGTTAAGTAAATAGCTCTCCAAATACGAACGTAGAAATGGCGCGAAAAAACGTGAAGTATTTCTAGTTTCGAAAGTGGAATTTAAGTTTTAGATTTCCAGCGGAATAAAAACTTTACCTATTGATCCAGTTTTTTCTAGTTGGGTTCAGGTTTAAAAAAAAAACGCCGATCATAAATTGTTCTAGAAATTCAAAGAGCTTAAAGGGCATCTATTTTCTTTCTTTGAAATTCGAAAGTTTCAAAAAAGTCAGTGTTTTTTTATGTTTACTTGCGTTCATTACTCTTTTCACATCTTCGCTTGGCTATGTTTTTCTATTATAGTATTTTGGCAAAGAATCTCTACTGCATTAAAAGTATGTTCCGAACTGAAAGCAATCTTATTTCAAACTCCTGGTCAAATTGAGGAGAAAAAAGGAACATGTTTGTAAAAGATTGAGTGATGAGGGACATTCAGACGACATGACTATAAGACAAATGGGAGTTAAACCATTGAACTGTTCGAATTTAATCAAATTCTTTTCTCAGAAGAACAACTGGAGAATTTGCGTTATGTCCTTTAGTCTCTTACACTTACTTTTTTGAATTGAATAGCTAGCACTTGTTGATACTTGAAGAAAAACTAATTTTCTAGCACTTGTAGATTTTCGTAGTAGAGCTAAATTTCTAAAATCTCTGATAAATAAATTAATTAGCATTTCAACTTTCTGTAAAATTGTATGTGTAATTCTAGGCTTGACGTACGTGGATGTTACTCTGTACCACTTGATGTGTGTAGTAAAGTCTGACCAGTTCTGTGACTGGACAAAAATAACCCAGAAGTTCCCGAAGCTGTGTCAGCACTGGCAGAGGATGGATGCCAACGAAAAGATTAAGCAGTACAAAATTAGTGAAAAAATGAAGTACAAACTGCAGGGTTACAGTTTCATGTGAAAATGTTCCTCGCCTAGATATAAGTTTGTAATAATATAACTAAATTGAAGAAAGTAAAATACAAAAGAACTGCTCTATTTTATGTTTTATTCGGATACATTTCGTTTCTTATGAAAACCGAAGTTTGGTAATTGCTCTATTTCATATCTGATAACCAATCAAATCCCTTTCTAAATACTTGAAACTTAATTTAATTTAAATCATTCAGCTTTTATCAGATAAGCTGAGACACCCTATACTTTCGTCACATTTCGAAAGCATTTTTTTTGTTGCCTACCAGCATAGAACTTCTACTTGTAAACTAGATGTTTTGAGCTACAAGATATGATTTTGAATTCAGTTTTAAGTCAATTTTTCAGTTATAATTATTACGCGTGCATCAAAAACTACTGAACCGATTGTGAAAAATTGGCGGCTCTTTTATGTGCCTGCATATTTTACTAGTCTCTCGTCATTTAACGCCACGTTCTACGGCGTTCGAAATTTTCCGAAGGGAATTTTTGACCTATTTTTTGTTCATTTTCTTAAATATTAAATGCGCAAATCTGATATATACGTTTCAATCAAAACCGCAAATTATGGGGATCCACCTTCACAGGCCGCTGTTTCCTAAATTTGGTAGATGAAAGTTTTGGCCTCAAATAAGCGCTTTTTTGACATATTTGTTGGTTAAAATTTTTTGTTTTTTTTTTCTCCAAAACTACCATGCCAAATCGGAGATCAAGGGTTGAACCGAAAGAAAAAAAAACAATTATGAGATTCTTCTCTGTGTAAGCTGCTATGCCGTGTGCCCTGTGTTTTGAAAACAAATCTGGCCTTTGAAAATGTTCAATTTTTGAAATTTTGCCCGTTTTTTTGGAAATTATTCTTTTTTTTAAAACTAAATCGCTGATTCTGACGTTGTAACTTCAATCAAACTAAGAAGGTGCGCAGATTTCCCTGAGTATGTACTCTGTTTCACTCTTTTTTTTACGGACATTGCGCAAAATCAATTTTTTGAAATCTCAGTTTTTTGCAGAAATTTCTATTTTTTTTTCACGAAAACAACTAGCTAAATCTGATATTAAGTGTTCAATCTAAAAATGAGGATATGGAAGTGTTCCATGCATAAAATGTTATTCCCATGCTTTATTAGAGAAAAATAAATGGATTTAGGAAAAGTCAAATTTTACAATATTTGATCGTTTCTTGGCGTCTTTTTTTTTCACTTTTTTTCTCGAAAACTACCCAGCCAAATCCGAGTTAAAGAAGTCAGTTGAAGAAGCGAGTAGTAGTTCTCTCGTTTAAATAAGCGGCTAATCACGTACTTAAGTAGGGAAATCACTGGGGTTTTGCGTAAAGTCAATTTTTCGAATTTTTGAAAGTTACGGATTTCGGTATCATACAATCAAAGATTAAAACAGGTGCATCCAGCATTAGCTGGGCCACTAGTTTACCTCTAGGCGACGATGGCTTAAATTCGATGACGTGAGACTCCTAATCAACAAGTGGTAGATTCAAATCCGGAGTTTTGGCTGCATAGCATTGGCAATTTGCTAAAAACTGCAGCTGCTTTATTGGTGGATAGTGTAAGAAAAATTACAAGCTGTCGCGGAGCAGATGTTAGACCGTGTTACTCTTTATCTCAGCAGAAACTTTTCCAAGGTGTATTTCTAATCTTTCAAGACTAATGAACGTAGTAAAGACTCTTTTATAGGTCTTGGTGGTTTTTTTTTCAGGAAAGTCTTAAAATGCTATAATAACTACGGATGTGCATTCACAGATATTAATGCATTTATGATTACACTTAGCTGTGCATGCACTTCTTGAGTTCAGTTGAAATTCATCTGCTTAAAGTTACGTAAATAGCTCTCTCCAAATACGAAGGTAGAAATGGTGCGAAAAAACGGGAACAATTTTTACTTTCGAAAGTGGTATTTAGTTTTTAGACTTCCTGCGGAATGAAAACTTAACCTATTGATCCAGTTTTCTCAAGTTCGGTTCATGCTATAAAAAAAACGCCATTCATAACTTGTTCAAGGAATTCAAAAAGCTTAAAGGGCATCTTTCAAGATTTTTTTCAACAAAGTCGATGTTTTTTCCTATTTACTTGCGTTCATTACTGTCTATTGGCTTTTTTCCTGATTTCATTTTGTTATGCCTGTTCAAAGCTGTTTTTTGCATCTTCTTCGCTTCTGTTTGCAAAGTACAGCTTCGCCTCTGCGTTGATATTTAAAATTTATTCAAATTCGTAAAATTTGTCGAACAATGAGCAGAATTGAAACAATTCATTAAGTCAAGCTCTCATCTCAAGCAAATTAGAAGAATCAATCAGACGTGAGCTTAACTTCGAAAAAATTGAGAGCAGAGACATTGTATAATTGAGACCACAATCAGATGCGCGTTAGAAGTTTGACTCTTTCTGCAGATCCATGAGTTGACTCTCCCCCACCTCACGCAAGCAATATTTATTTGGTGAAATGAGTGGTTTGACCAGGTTAAATTTGTATAGCAAAAGTGTTTGTCAGTCCCTTATTAGTCTGCATGTCGAAATTGATGGGTGGGGGGAAGAAAAAGAGCCCATGAGTTGTTAAATTTTAAATAGAAAAGACCCATTGGAAAATTTAGACACCGATTTTTAAAAAGTATATATATTTTATTTGCACGGAATATATTATACGCTATAATTCCTTTTCTTTTAATATTGAGATTCGGGTCTGAACTTAACCCTTTCATTGAATAGGAGTTTTACTGATTCCGATCAGAAGAAAGTTTTCTATGATAGAGTTCCTCTACATTGCGAACAGCCTCCAGTTTGACATCCGATTATTTTACTCAGTAAATTGTTGGAAAATAAACCATTTCTGATGAAAAATTTGACTTTAAGCAAGAACATTACAAAAAAATTCGGTTGTGCTTTAAGAAATTTCCCATGTACCGTTTAGTCGCGATTGTTTGTTTTGTTCTTGACGATATAAAATATTCAAACTTCATAGAATCAGGTAGGAAAAAACTGTTTCCTTACGCTAGCAGTTTTTAAAGTTGCACGTGCTTCTTTCCTCGAAGTATTAGACTAACGGCTTGAAAAATCACCATAACGGTATGAATACTTTAAACGGAAAATCTCCTCTGCCTAAACTTGAAAGTCTGTTTTACATTGTTATCAAAAATTAAATGAAATTGTAATATCAAAAGAAGTGAGCCGCCTCTCATAAAATTGATGCTTTATTTCGTCTGTTACCAGATTATATACAGACATTTTATGCCAAAGTAAAATAATTCTTAATAAAAAAGCAGCTACCTAAAAATGGTTTTCGTAAAACCAAATGAATTTTAAACCAACCAACTAAAATTCACGCACCAGTTGTGTTATTTCTATGACGCACAGTTTAATATAGTAAAGTTAGATATTTTTCAATCAAAAACGTCACTGAGTACCAACGCATCATGTACAATTGATGGTGACTTTTATTTATGTGCTTTTTTGAGTTTTCTTTTATTAGTTTGGCTTACATGAGTTAACAGCGATTGCTTTTAGACCTTTCTTAATATTGACCTATATATTTTTGTGTCATAAATGAAAATTCGTTGTTGAAGAGTAATGTTTACTGCAGAAAACTTTGGCCTCAGACATCAGCTTTAAATGAAATTTTTGTCAATTTTATTTCTTAAATAAATTCTTCACGTAATTTATCTCAAAATGGGTTGCGGTGCTTCAAATTCTAGTGCTCCAGTTGCGTTTAAATCGAAGGTCTCGCCTGAGCCCACTTTTGCAGCTGTAGAGCAACGGAGGAAAAGCCGAGTGGTAAGTTCGTTCATATCGCAGATAACTAAACCCTTGAAAGTTAATTTAATAACGTCAAAATACTATTCTCACTTTTGTACAGGTACGATAGTCAGGTTAAACCGATAATGTTAATAGTATTTTCAGTCTTGGGAATACAGAATATTTAACCTGAATTATTTTCGTTCAAAAACATCATTGTTTCAACATCCAATATCTACCCAGCGCAAATACTTTTCTATTTTTTCAACAATAAAAAACTTAGCTTGGGTTCTAGTTTTCTGAAGGCAAATACAGTAATGTTGCTTGTGGGTAATGGAAAATTTTGTTTTGGATCTTCAAAACTATTTTCAGTTCTTTATTGGAACGAAAAAGTGAAAATTTGGAGTATAAGCCATGCTGAGTTCTGAAATCTTTTCTCTGTGCTTAGTATCAGACTTTTAAGTGTTCAAAAAAAACATCAATTAAATTGGTTTTACTCTTTTTGGCACTAATAAGTTGCAGCGAACGAAATGAAGACACTTATTTAGGTCGTGTGGTTTTCTTTTTTTTTCAGGTGAAGTTTCCTTGACTACTTTTTTGGTCGTCTAACTCTTTTGCATTAATCAGGCTTACTTTTTTTTTATTCCAATTCAATTCTATGAATGACTTTTTTCCGTGTACTTAAACTATTTTGCATTAACCTAAACAGCGTGCATGGAGATTGAATTTTTGAAACGAATCAAATGCCTCGATTAAATTGATTTTTTAAATGAAAGAATACCATCTTTTGCAATTAATGCTTCCCATTGAACAGGCCATTTTTTGTCAAAACACTGTTTTTAATTGGAACTTTCTTCAAAGTAAATACGGTTTGCCGACCTAAAAAATTCCGACGGTTTGCCTATCCAAATAGTTCCAGTCTAAAATTTTTCCTGCAAACCTAAATATTTTTGAAGGAAAGAATATGTAATCCTTTGTTTCATAAATCACGAGTTTTGTTTCATAAATCACGAAAGTTTTGTGAAAAACTTTGATCACTTTATTGAATGTTCTTAGGTTTTTGAGATTTACTTAACAATTTCCTCCCTCTCCCTCTTTATCTCCTAAAAAATCGCAATCTCGATAAATAGAAAAAGTGATTAAGCGTTAGAGCGTTGTTGTATTTAAATTTTGCTGCTTTCTGACTGGTCAAACATTTGACCAAATTAATCTTTTCAACAATTGCCCCCTTCTTAAAAACGGGGGAAGGGGTAATTGTTAAGCAGATTGGGTTTTTTTTCACTCATTACGTTAATGTTTTTACGCTTTGGATTAGCAAGCTTTATCAAATCGGAATACAGAATTTTTTTTCGGAATAACAACTAGTTTAACAAAATCACTAAATCATTTGTTCAGTTATTATTTGTGCTGCATTGAAATCTGTAGCTCAGTTTCTTGAAAATTAAAATTCAAGTTTAAGTATTGGTTACAAAAAACTAGTAGACGGCTAATGCTCTAGCTCAAAACCGGCCAGCACTTGTTTTTTAACCAAAAATATTTAGCATCAAAAAATCATCGGCCTATTGGTTGTCTGTTTATGTTTGTCGGCTTATTTTCTAAATTTATTACCTTTTTTGTGCCGTAAGCTCTTTTGTAATCAAATTTTTTTTGATTTTTTATGTAATTTGGTAAATTAAAAACTGATTGTATTTTTTTTGTCTTTTTTCTTCGCGTAAACACTTAACTTTGCCCGAAGATTTTCGTTTTATTATTATTTTTCATAAGATTAAGTTTTTTTTCGGTTTTTTTGTTTTTTTTTCACCTTTTTTGCTTGATAGGTTTCGGCCTACACTAAATCGGCTTAATGGCCTCATATTGCGTCTTTCGACAAGCGAAAAAAATTATAGGTGCGTGTGTTTGTTTTGATAATCAAAGGGTCTTATTAGCTTTTTATTGGTCTTAAATGTTATCGATTTTTTTCCTATTTTTTCTGCTTTCAGATTTCGGCCTATATTATTTTGGCTAATTAGCCCCATATATTGTTTCATTTGACGAGCAAAGAACATTTTTTTGTGTGTGTGTGTGTGTGTGTTTTTTTTTTGAGGCTGAGGGGGACCTAATAATTTATCTTGTTGATTTTTTTCGTCCTCAAGGGTTTCTGCTAAGGTATTTTTTGGCTTTGTGAACGTTCAATAATTTTCTTCCGAAACTAATTTTACTATCTATTTTCTCGCATCTTTTTGTATCAAAACTAGCCTTTTTCTTTTTGAACGATTCAGTTTTTTCGACCATATTGCATTATTTTTCGACTTGCATCGCAAGTGGGGCGAAGCTCAGCTTCGCCTCTGTGTCAGAAAATTGCGCCACTGTATTTGAATTTTAAAAGTTTTTTAGGCCTATGATAACGCTGATATTAACAGCAAAAGCCTTTTTACTTCCAAAATGTTCCACCATGAGGCAATCAAAGTATGCATGTTTGTTATTTTGTTTTCTCAGATGTTGTTAACTATTTACCCCCTTTTGTTAAAAAGGCCAATTCGCTACAAGGTACAAAGTTTGACTTTGACTATTCTTAATTGTTTGGTTTTATCTTAATAGGAGGGATTTGCTACAAGGTACCGTAGGGGGAAATAGTTAATAAGATCCAACTAACATTTTAATTTTTCAGCAACTGACCGACACTGAACCAGAAAAAAGTTAACCACTGCATCGAATTTAACATATAAGAGTCAATTGTAAAGAAGACAACTTGTTTTACAAAATCGGTGGATTTTTTGGTCTACTCTTTTGTGTAATTTTTGTTTTGTTCGCTCAAAAGGTTGATTCAATTTAGCAGTTTTAATCGTATTAAATTTGCTTAATTGTGTCATTTTGTGTCATTTGAATGGCGAATAGAGTTTTTTTATGCGTATTTGTGCTTCCGCGATTTTACAGTATTTATTAATAACGCTTGAATTTTACTGACAATTTTTATTAGCTTGCAATTTGATTTCTTGAAATTTTTTCGTGAAAACAAATGCGTACGAGACAAATCGAAATCAATGTGTAAAAATTTTTGGGAGATAGTTTTGCGCCATCGTCGCAAACTACTTTTCCGATTTAGACTTTCGTCTCATTGTTTGTCACCTACTTGAGCCGAACGGCAAGCGATGCAAAACTTCGCTTCGCCTTTGTTTGAAAATCTTTTTACTCATTTTTTAATACTGAAAACACGTTAGGATAAGAATGAAAAAAAGATTGAATTTCATTGATTTAAATTTTTCTGAAAATCTGCAAATCTTTCATCCTATTTCGAAAAAATTATTTTTTGGAAACTATGTTTTCTCCATTTAGGACCCTATCCAGTTGAAAAATTGGCCTGAGCCTTGTCCTCCGGCTACTTACAAAGAAGATATCTTCAAGCAAGAGGATTTCAAACAGTGGGATCAGAGGGCACTCACTGTACGGAACTATGGCATCCCCAACGATTTCCTCACACTCTCCAGGTAGACTTATATTCAAGACAAATTAAGATTTCAAATATTTGATAGAAACCTGTATTTTGCAACTCTTGCAAGCTCGCTAAAATCTTCTCATTTGCAAACTATGACAAACTATGACCATTCCACCCCGAACCTTCTAACAAAATCGAAAAGCTGATTTTTGTACTATAGGGTATAACTTACAAAAACTGAGACAGCAGGAATGGTTTAGCTACCAAGCCCAGATGATCAAAATAAATTGTAGTGATAATTATTTGCAATTATATGCCAATTTCTGAGCATTATTTGTAAATCGTTCCGAGCAAGCAGTTACAACTCATTGTTCCGGTCATTTGAAAAATTTGGAGGAACTTTTTATTCGGGTGTGCTTTAATTTTTTTCCACGCAAAATCAGGTACCACAAAAAATCATCAAAAGGGTCGAGTTGTATACCAAATTGAAGCCCTTTCAGTCTTGATTCGAACGACAGTAAAAAATTCAAAAAATTTTCTCAGTATCGAGAGAAACTAGTTTAAAATTTTTGATTTTTATTTCAACTTTGAGAAAATAAAGCGAGCGAGCAGGCTTACAAAAGCTTAATTATTTCTTGAGTTACCCTGAAAATTTAGTTTTAAGCTAGTAAAATTGGGTTTCTAATTTGTTTAGTGCCATTTTTGGAACAAAATCTTCGAAAAAAAATTGGAAAAAATGTCGAATTAAAAAAAAAATTGTTTGTCTAGTCATTTTTCAACGGAAATTTCATTCAATTTTTTTATATAACAATAACTGTCAAATATTTTCAAATTAAGAGTTTACGTTAGATTCTTTTATCTTACCACACATAAAAAACTACACTAATTTGAAATATAAAACTTTTTTAATATTTTTTTAAAGACTATGGTCGGAACATTCTCTGGTACTTGCACAGTAACCGATTATCTTTGCTTTATTGTTCCAACCTTTCAAGCAAGTGATAGAGTGTTTGTGCTCGGTGTGTTGTATATTTTTTTCAGATAAATTCCCAATTTTTAATTAGCTACATTAGAACTAACTTTTTGTACCTTCTGAAAAATATTGACTCCCTGAGCTCAAACCTATAAATGTATTTAGCTGTGATAATTTTTGCAAAGTTATGGGGGCTCGAAAATTACCAGTTTGTGGTAATTAACGGGCAACAAAAAATATTTTGCTTTTATATCAGTTATTTTTCAATATCATCACTTTTCATCCAGTGATCATGGAAAACTATTATCAACTCGGTCAAAAAAAAATTCAGAGATGATAAAGATGTCTTGTTTTTACTTTTGCCATTAGCAAGGGTTTTGCAATCGAGTACTAGACTTTTTTCCCGTAAATAACTTTGTTTACAGGAGTCATCTCATCTGGACTTCTGGTCTCATCTCTAGAAGTACCTTGTTCCATAATTAATTCAATTTTTTAGCGTTCCCGGCGTTTTTAGCCTGGAAGTAACAAATAGGCATGCGACGCAAAGGCCGTTGGTTTGAATCTGACCAGGAACTGTTTTTTTTTTTCAAACGGGAAACATTCTGTTTCAAATTAAAGTGTCGGCCAATTATTTGTATGCTCATTATTTATCGACTTAGTTGCCACATCTTGGAATCGTTTTCGTAGCTGCGCGCATGTTTTGAATGATGCTTTTAACTTTTGAGTTACTTGTATTTTTACTTACTTTGAGTAAGTATTTCATTTTTTTTTAATTCGCTCAAAAATTTTATTTGGCCCAAATTTTTTTGGTCTATTTTTCATCGGCTTAGTAGTCTAAATCTGGGTAGTTTCAAGGTAAACGCAAAATTTATATTACCCAACGCTTTCTTAAATTGGTTGAATTTTCTACGGTTAATTGAACATTTTTCCCGGCTTAATAGGTTTCGTTTTGTTTTATATCGGCTTAGCACTCTCTTTTTACGTCGCTTAATGCACGAAAAAAATTGTTGTGTGCCTGTATGTATGTTTTTTGAGGGAATTTAAAACGTACAAAATTTAAATCAGTTTCGAAGTTGTATGAAAAAACTTTCGGCTTGAAGAACTCCTGCTCAGATGTTTTCGGCTTTGCCATTGCTTGCTCAATTTAGTTCCGATGCTGATTTGCATTCTTTTATTTGTGCTTTTTTCTACAAATATTTTTATTCATTTTTCATTTGGATAGATTTAGTTAATCGCAAGTGGTGCGAAGCTCAACTTTGCCTCTGTTTACAAATTTCAAAAAAAACTGGCAGCGTAGTTTGGCTCAGTGGTTGTTTTCTTCATACAAACTTCGATTTGCCGACTATCAACAATTAGCAGAAGTTTCATATACCATCTGAAAAATATGGTCAAAAATTCAAATTTTTAAAAATTCACCTGCAGCATATGTTTGTAAGTTAATTTGACAACTCGTATTCTGGGATAATTAAAGGGCGATATGCTTAGTCGTGTTAAAGCGTAAGCGGCAAATTAGGTCAGTTCAAAGTAAAATGATGCAAGCAATTTACTCTGATTATTATTACATAAAACTGAAAGTATACACAGGGGTGAAACGGAGCTTCGCACCACTTGCGTTCCAAACAACAACTAGATCGCAATCTAGCAACTTGTTATCGAATGATATTCAACTTGAGAAAAACACGTCAAGCAACAAAGAATACTCCCAAAATTATATCAAGTTTATATCAATAAGCCGATAAAATCGATATATCAAAAAGCCAATAGAAAGCCCAAACTCATATCAATAAGCCGATAAAGATTCCAGCAAAAACAAAAACAAAAAGTAAGTTTACCAAAGAGTTAATAATAACTAGTTTTGTCGGGATTGGAACATAAGCTCTGAGCTCTCCCAGGTAACGTTTTTTTTTTTACCTCAGACCAAATGTGTGTGAGAAACTAAAATGTTTGAATCAAGCTAGCAGAGAAATAATACATGTGAGCTTATTAAATAGGTTATTAACGCAAAAAACCTATATTTCGAGTTCATTAGGTCTTACTTACATAAAGTGTTTGGGAGGGTAAATTTAGGAAAAAATTGAAATAAAAGTTTAATTTTTTATAATTTATTAATCAGGCCTTATAGTACTTTAAACGCAGTCCAAATTTTTAGTGCTTTGCCTTGATACGAGCAGGGTCTTGTTATGATATAAAATTTTTTAAAGTGCGGGAAAACTCTTGTCTTTTAAAGCGAAGCAAAAACAAATGAGCCGAATTAAATTGTCAAAGAAATTATTTCAAGTTGAACAAGGATAGCCGGTTGCTCTGCAAGTAGCTTATAATGTTCCAGCAATAATATTAAAAAACTAGAAAAGAGTTTCTTATTGTTCTTAAAATTAGTGTCGTGTTTAATGGGCGATGCGATTCAAGATTTAAATGATCTTGTGAAAAATTAGTGAATTAAGTATGATTGACTACAGTTTTTTTTTTTCAAAAATGAATAACAAAAAAATTTAGAAAAACTCTTTAGAATAACAAACAAAAAATTTTTCGAAAAAACAAAATCAAAATTAAGCTAAATCTCAAAATTTTCAAACCTGGCAATCTCGACACTGGGACAATTTGTTTCAAAATTTTCCAATGCAGTTTTCTATTGTCGTTCGAAACAAGAGTGAAAGTGTTTTAATATGTTTTGTCATTCGACCCATTCCGATGATTATTTGTGGTACCTGATTTTGGAAAACTCACCCGAATACAACGTTTCTCCTTGTTTTCAATGGTTGGAACAATTATGGCACGTTGAAAAATTCAACTATTGAGTTAGTAGACCCCGAAAAACTCAGATTCTAATTAACAAGAAAAATTCATTTTGTAGGCAATTGAAAATTCTCAAAGATCGCCGACGTTGCCAACAACTTGATATGAAGAATGAATGATTATTCTTAAATCTGTTCCAGGTACTTGTGCGACGGTGCCTCGAATGAACTGAGCAAGGTGCGCGCCATCTACATCTGGGTCACAACGCAGGACTGCAATCAGGTAGACAACTCAGTCCAGGTTGACCTCAACTCCCCTCTGGGATATCTGGCTGCACTCAAGCAGGAGAAGGGCTCCTATGCTGGACTGTTCGGACGCATATGCACGTCAGTATTGAGTTCTTAATTTTTCTCTTAATGGGAGTTGGTGTCTTTAGGTGGTGTGGTTTTTTTAAGTTTTTTTTGAAAAGTCTAGCAAGTTGTCTTAGTTAAAGTTGGAAAAAATTTGGTTTTTCGTGGTGTGATTTTTGATTTTTTTCTATTTAAAGTAACGTTAAGTTACTAAATGGAAAGTAGATTACGCTCTCCAATAACTAAATGGCGCAAAAAAACGTGATTGACTTTTTCTGTCCTTCTTTGTTTGTCATTGTTGTCAAAACAGAAACTCGCGCAAGTTATGATTGCACCCTCCGCAATCATAAGATTGCGCCCTCCGACTTGGGCAAAGCAAAGAAACCAGGGCTACACTAAGGAAGAAAAATCGCTATTATACAAATACTATGTCGAAATTTGCTTTATCTTTAGTGAGTCGGATGTGCCATGTGTGACTATCCGTGGATTTGCCAAAGGGGTTGGATACCAACCGGGCCAGAAGATGGACGCTGGCAATTTTGGGGCTTCCTGGAATGCAGTGCTCATTGATAAGTACTGGCGACTCATAGACGTGCATTGGGGTGCCAGGTTCATCACAGGTACTGGCTACTCAATTATATTCTCTATAATTGCAATCTCTACGCACTTTGCCTTTACATTGTATTGTCGCTAGTCAGAATATTTCTCTGTATTAGATATCATCTTTTCAGTTTTTCTTCTGTGAAAAACATTTTCATGAAAGCCTCGTTTGTCTTGAAAGCCTCCTGAGAAAACATAGTTTCGACTAGTATCAACATTTTATGCTTTGGTAACTTCGCTTTTTAGGGGAGGAGATATATTTTCCAAGGACTGTAGCCGATTGGTTTCTGAATATTGGAAGTTCTGATCTTTGGGTGTTAAGTGGCTACCCTCTGATTCTGCTGCCATATGTATGTCTGGATGAATTTTGGCTCTAATCGGTAAATGCTTTTTTAAATAGGCGACGACAAGAAAGACGACTGGAAGCTGATTGACTCGGACACCTCAGCAGCAGTGGACAAAACCCAAACGATGACATACGACTCAGACGACTTCTACTTTCTCTCTGACCCGGACAAACTTATCTTCAGCCACTTCCCAGACGAACAGAGGTGGCAACTGCTGGACACGCCCAAACAGATCGCTCAGTTCGAAAGACAGGCCTTCATAAAGAGACATTTCTTCAAATTAGGTTTTCAAGTTCTAAAAAATAACAAGGATCGGCGGTTGCTGTGCTCAAATACTAGAATTTTCCAACCACGCTTATTTTTATTTAAAAAATGAGCAAAAAAAAAACAAACAAAAATTGGTCACGATTTTTTCTTCGAATTTCCTTTTGTTTTAATTTAGCGAAAAGGGATCTCACAAGACGTAGACTGAAAGATTATTCTGAAATTTTCCAGCTGAAAATCAGTCTGAAAAACCAAAAAATGTCAGACCAAAATTTCTCGACCCAGACAACTTTTTGATTTTTTTTTTGTAATACGAATCACAGCTAATACGCTTTATTAATATGATACCACAATGGGCCCCGTACAATCTTTCATTGAATTGGCCGGATAACAAGACATCCTACAGGCCATAGTTCCTTTCCTTTTGTTTTTGAAGTTGCGCCTTTTTGGCGCACTTCTCAAAACCAAAGAACTCTGTAGACTTAAACGCCTTCAAAAACGACTGATTGAACGACTCGTCATATACAAATTTTAAACCTGGAAGTTATTGCTGCCTCAGTTTCATTTAGATGCATTTAGGCAGCTAACAATCGTTGCTGTACTTAAAAACGATGATATATGATAATTTTTATATTTTTGAACTAATAATGCTACCCGGAGTTAGCTTCAGCCAGTTGGCCTTTTGTGTTAGTTTTCAAGGGTTGTCAATGGCGCGACACAGAGCCTATTATCCAGATAGCCTAAAAAAATGGTTCCCGGGGAGTGGAAATGTAGCGTGACCAGTTATTTACGAAAAAAAAGAACTCTACTCTTGCTCTTCTGTTTTTTTTTCATTTGACACGAGTGGTATAGTTTGAGTAAATCATAGATCTAATGTCAGTTTGTTTTTCGGCTATGCGAGAATACGCACAGGATAATTGAAATAATTGATATTTTTTTAACCCGTGTTTTGTTTTCAGGTCTCAGCATCAAGTCGCACCCCGACGCCATCATCGAGTGTCCCGAGGGAGAATCGGACATCCAGTTTGCCCTGCCCATGCACACTTGGGTCACATTTGCATACAAACTGTTCGCCATCAGTTCCTCAACCGTCGAGAAAAACATCGTCTCATCTGCTAGCAAACTGGGCCAGTTTGTTATTCAGCAAAGCATGAACAAAATTATCTCTTTTAATCTCTCATTCCCCATGACGGGCAACTTTTTAATCGAGCTCTACGCGACTGCTGAATCGCTTGAAAAAGATGCGAATAAGAGGGCGAGTTACATGAATCATGTTTGCTCGTATATTATTAATTGCACGAAGGCAAAGCCGGATTGCGAGGCGTTGCCGAAGACAGCATCGCTGAAGGGATTTGGGCCAGGTAGATTTTGAGTTTTGTTTTTATATATATCTTCCGATATTTTCAATTTTTGTCTTATTTTACTGCGGGTTGATTTTTTTCATATTCACAATATTCAAATTCAAAATGTTTTTGATGTTAATGATTTGTAATTAACATCAGTTTTTATAATTGTTTGTTAAGTTTTTGTATTTTTTTCATAATTCATCATTTTTTTGAATTGTATCAAAGTTTTCTCCATTTTATTCAAAATATTGGTTTCTTGGAACAGTAAAATTTAACTTTCATCGATCATATTTGACATCCCTCAGCTACGGTTTTCAGGAATTGACGCAATTAGGAAATCCCTCGTGCCTCTGAGCCACCAGAGTGGGGTCATAATCACCGCAACAGGTCAAGTTGAGGTCAGATTCAAAATGGAAAACGGACTGGTAGACTTCGCTCATTTCTTACACAGCAACAAATACGACGACGAGAAGTTGGAAAACTATTGCGTTCACCGATTTGTAGACGACGAAGTCATTTTCTCTGTCAATTTGCCCTCTAATGGTGACTTCACCCTGGATATTTTTGGAGAACTAGAAAACAAAGAGGACAATAAATCTCTTCCTCACATTTGCAGTTACCTAATTAGGTGCAACAAGCCAGGAATAACCAACCCGCCTTTTGCAGCGACCCTGGATAGCATGTTTGGAGTCAGAGGCGAAAAAAAGTACATGGACAAAAATAAAATTAAGTTCAACCCTCAAGATCCATTTATTGTCACCGATTCGGGCGAAGTAGTAATTGAAGTTGAATCGGATCCCTCTATAACTTTCCAAGGAGCGCTTGAGTACCGAACTCCGGAGGACCAGTCGGAACCTATGAACGATCACGTGTTCTTCGAAAGAACGGGATACGTCGGCAAACTCCAACTTACATTGCCGAAAGCGGGTTTCTACCGACTCGGTGTTTTCACGCGCAAGAAAAGCAAGCCAGACGCGGATCCGGTTGAAGTTTTCAACTACTTGATTAACTGCACATCAGTGCATGCAGATTTAATTCAGTATCCGGTGCCTTTTGCAAATTGGACCGAAGATTGCGTGCTGTATGAGCCAAAACAAGGTTTGTATTTTCTCACATTGTATTTTCGCGCAATTTCAATTAAATTTACAAGTTTTGATTGAATCTTTGAACTTTGAACTTGCTCAAGGTCTCTTGCCGTACGACGAAGAGATCAACTTTTCTGTTTCTATCCCGGGAGCGGAGTCTGTTTTTGTCGTGCGACCTGGCGAAGCGAATGAAGAATACGAGAAAGTGTGTCCCCTAACAAGGTCTGCTGATGATGATGATACTTGGGATGGGAGCATCAAAACAGGAGTGAGTACTGGAGATCTGCAGCTGGCTGTGATTTACAAGAATGGAGATCATCCCCAGGGTCTGCTCAAATTCGAGGTACACTTTTTGAATATGAATTCCCATTAGCAGCCGCCCCATTACTAAAGACTTCTGTACCAACGTGAGTGTTAAACCTAGATCTGAAACACCATAGTCTGACGTCACTGATTGACCCACGGTAACCAAGTTTTTAATCCGAGTTAAATCGAGAATTAAATTAAAAGTTGTAGTGCCAGGACTACTATCAAATTCAAAAATTCTATGTTTTATAATTTTGATAATATAGTTTCTTCACAGCAGCTGAAGTTGTGTTATAGTACAATACAACGTTTTTCAATGCAAATAAAATTCAAAAATTTTAGAGAAACCGAGCGTGATGTCATTTTAATTTTTTTATGCTATGATTTCGGTTCCAAACAAATTATCTGCGTCGAGAAAAACTTGTTGCTTCTCAGACTAATTGCAGAGGGTGATTGGAGGAGAAGCTCAACTGAATTAAATTTAATAACTTGATTTCAAAAAACAACCAGGATAGCCGGTTGCTGTGCAAGTAGCACAGAATGATCCGACCATATTCACAAAAACTACAATAAAATATTTTCGTTTCTTTTTCTTTCAATTTGAAGACGTTGCTTGTACGCGGTCTGATGAGAAAACTCTACAAACGCTTCCAAAAAATTGAATAACAAACATGAGAATAAAAAAAGAGAAGATTAAAAAAGAGTTTTTCAGAAACGTTTTTTTTTCACAAAAATTTTAAAGTTTTCCGAAAATTTTCTTGCCTACAGGTAGCGCTAAATTAAGCTAAATTTTTGCCTACGAATCGCTTTATAGTTTTCGTTTTAGTAAAATCATGTTTTTATAGCCTGACAGTTCCAGTTAACGAACATTTATTGATCGTCTTACTCGCTCGGAATTAGACTGAAACCCAAAAGTTTCAAACCGGTTTTTATCGACAAAGGGATTTTTTTTGAAATTTGTTTAACGTTGCTCAAATTACATCTGAACGAGTTTTAATATGATATGTCACTCGATACATTCCAATTGTTATTTGTGAACCTGATTTTGCGTTACAATTTAAAACACATCCGAATCCAAAGTTCTTCCTCATTTTCATTGATCGGAAGTATACACTTTTTTGTTTTAAAATGGAATACAGTGCTAATTTATGTTATCCGTACAAAAAGATAAAAACTTGATATTTAAAACGTGTTTAACTCAAATTGGGTTAAAAAACATGAATACCAATCTTGCTTAATTCTTTAACAGAATTATTATGGTGCAATTTGTTTTGCAAAATTCGGGCCCAAAAATTTACCCTGAAAGCGATTAATTTTGGCTTTGTTTAATCAGTCAAAAATTACTTCAAACCTACTCTTCCATCTACTGACAAAACTAAATCACTGCTAGCCTCTGATGTAGCCCAACAAAACTTAAGAATGGTATAGTTTTCTCAGATTTGTATAAATATAATTCTTTTCGTGTTGTCTAGAATTCACTTTGATGTTTTATTTTTGCTATTTCAAATATTTATCATTATCAGACTTTTTTCGTCATTACTTTCCTTTTTCACTTCTAATTGAAAAATTGATTATGAAAAAGAAGTCGTTTTAAGATCTCAAAAAATATATTTTATTAGACACGGTTTGACGATGATCAGCGTCATAGCATGTTTGGCTATTGGCATGACAAATTAAAAGAACGCATATGCTCAGTAAAATTTATTTACTCCAATCGTGTGCAGTTTGTCGAATCAAGGCGAAAAAGAGTTGTTGATCCCCAAGCAAACCAAGTGATTTATAAAACTAAACAAGACTGCTCGTATCAGGGCCAAGCCCTGAATGTTCCGACTGCCTTTTAAGGTTTTTGGAGCTGTAATAACATTAAAAAGTTAAATAAAACAAAATGAAATTTTTTTTTAATTTTGATGTTTTCATGAAAAGCATCCCCCCCTAACGCTATAAAAAGTACAAAAGTATAGATTTCGCTCCTTGTAACACATCAATTATGGCAAATCCGCTTCTTTCAACCAATTTGGACCGATTTCTAAGACGGATTAACTCTCCGCTTACGCGTTAATAGCGCGAAATATATCGCGCGTTATTTGTCCCAAATTGGCCAAAATGGAAATCTTTAAACCCCCGTAACTTAACGAAAATTGATCACACCTGAGCTCAGGACAACAATACCTTTCGAATGATAATAAAAAAATTCCGTCAAAAATGGCTAGTTAAAAAGTCGAAATTTGTCTGAAGAAAAAAAATCCCACCCCGAGCACAAATATTCCGTTACTTTCGTACCGAAAGTCGGAACAACAAAATTTAGGCTTATTTTTTTGACTGAATGAACATTGAATTAAAGCAGTAGCTCATGCTCCTATTATGAAAACGTACCTATCGCTACTCCCTCAAGTTGGTTTCTTCATAGGGAATATGCTTATAATAAAATTCAATTCAAGAAAGATGCTTATCCTTTAAATGGAAGAAACGCTTGTCATACAAGTTTTATAAGTGTAAATTTTGTCTTCAATGGCGTTCAGGTTCAATTTTTTACTCAAAATAACCAAAAGTGACTAAGAATCTTTTGTGTGAAGCCAGATCTTTTATATTTTCTTTAAAATTTTCTGAAACTTACAATAAACTTTAACCTGTCCAAAAGTGGGCCAAGAATTTTAACCACTGATTTTATCCATAGTAAATGTTTTGTAACCATTTACAAAAGTTTATGGTGTTCATATAGAACATCTTAACTTAGATGGCGAATCTCTTATTGAAGTTTATCTCTGAGATTATTGTCGCCTAAGCAGTGGATTTTGTTAATTGAGCAAAAAAACTGGCATAAAAAAAGCAAAAACCTTAAAAAAGCTTTTTTTTTGAAAATAAGATAGTCATACAATTTTCAGGCATGAGAAAAAGTTAATCTAAGAGGTGTCAGTTCAATTTTTGGACGTCTGTGATTATATGAAGTTAATTGACAACAAAAAATTTTCTATTATGGAAAATGTATGATGAGATTTATTATTCAAGCAGGGGAATGAAGAGTATTATAAAACTAATGTATCCGCCCATTTCTTCGAATCCAGTTAAAACTGAGGCTAACTGTGGAATCGAATTTAAAACTAATTCGTCATTACCAAGAGTCTAATTCTCCAAAAGCATCGTTTGAGCATTTTTGACTTATTATGGCTAAGTTTTGTTTTAAAAAGGGAAATCTGAGCTATGAGAAGACACGCAATTAAAAAGATTTTTTATCCATGGCTAAACTAAAAAATATTGAATGCTTATTAGATCCCTCATAGCTCAAAATTTTCAAACCTGGCAATCTCGACACTGGGACAATTTGTTTCAAAATTTTCCAATGCAGTTTTCTATTGTCGTTCGAAACAAGAGTGAAAGTGTTTTAATATGTTTTGTCATTCGACCCATTCCGATGATTATTTGTGGTACCTGATTTTGGAAAACTCACCCGAATACAACGTTTCTCCTTGTTTTCAATGGTTGGAACAATTATGGCACGTTGAAAAATTCAACTATTGAGTTAGTAGACCCCGAAAAACTCAGATTCTAATTAACAAGAAAAATTCATTTTGTAGGCATTTGAAAATTCTCAAAGATCGCCGACGTTGCCAACAACTTGATATGAAGAATGAATGATTATTCTTAAATCTGTTCCAGGTACTTGTGCGACGGTGCCTCGAATGAACTGAGCAAGGTGCGCGCCATCTACATCTGGGTCACAACGCAGGACTGCAATCAGGTAGACAACTCAGTCCAGGTTGACCTCAACTCCCCTCTGGGATATCTGGCTGCACTCAAGCAGGAGAAGGGCTCCTATGCTGGACTGTTCGGACGCATATGCACGTCAGTATTGAGTTCTTAATTTTTCTCTTAATGGGAGTTGGTGTCTTTAGGTGGAGTGGTTTTTTTAAGTTTTTTTTTGAAAAGTCTAGCAAGTTGTCTTAGTGAAAGTTGGAAAAAATTTGGTTTTTCGTGGTGTGATTTTTGATTTTTTTCTATTTAAAGTAACGTTAAGTTACTAAATGGAAAGCAGATTACGCTCTCCAATAACTAAATGGCGCAAAAAAACGTGATTGACTTTTTCTGTCCTTCTTTGTTTGTCATTGTTGTCAAAACAGAAACTCGCGCAAGTTATGATTGCACCCTCCGCAATCATAAGATTGCGCCCTCCGACTTGGGCAAAGCAAAGAAACCAGGGCTACACTAAGGAAGAAAAATCGCTATTATACAAATACTATGTCGAAATTTGCTTTATCTTTAGTGAGTCGGATGTGCCATGTGTGACTATCCGTGGATTTGCCAAAGGGGTTGGATACCAACCGGGCCAGAAGATGGACGCTGGCAATTTTGGGGCTTCCTGGAATGCAGTGCTCATTGATAAGTACTGGCGACTCATAGACGTGCATTGGGGTGCCAGGTTCATCACAGGTACTGGCTACTCAATTATATTCTCTATAATTGCAATCTCAACGCACTTTGCCTTTATATTGTATTGTCGCTAGTCAGAATATTTCTCTGTATTAGATATCATCTTTTCAGTTTTTCTTCTGTGAAAAACATTTTCATGAAAGCCTCGTTTGTCTTGAAAGCCTCCTGAGAAAACAGATTTTCGACTAGTATCAACATTTTATGCTTTGGCAACTTCGCTTTTTAGGGGAGGAGATATTTTTTCCAAGGACTGTAGCCGATTGGTTTCTGAATATTGGAAGTTCTGATCTTTGGGTGTTAAGTGGCTACCCTCTGATTCTGCTGCCATATGTATGTCTGGATGAATTTTGGCTCTAATCGGTAAATGCTTTTTTAAATAGGCGACGACAAGAAAGACGACTGGAAGCTGATTGACTCGGACACCTCAGCAGCAGTGGACAAAACCCAAACGATGACATACGACTCAGATGACTTCTACTTTCTCTCTGACCCGGACAAACTTATCTTCAGCCACTTCCCAGACGAACAGAGGTGGCAACTGCTGGACACGCCCAAACAGATCGCACAGTTCGAAAGACAGGCCTTCATAAAGAGACATTTCTTCAAATTAGGTTTTCAAGTTCTAAAAAATAACAAGGATAGGCGGTTGCTGTGCTCAAATACTAGAATTTTCCAACCACGCTTATTTTTATTTAAAAAATGAGCAAAAAAAACAAACAAAAATTGGTCACGATTTTTTCTTCGAATTTCCTTTTGTTTTAATTTAGCGAAAAGGGATCTCACAAGACGTAGACTGAACGATTATTCTGAAATTTTCCAGCTGAAAATCAGTCTGAAAAACCAAAAAATGTCAGACCAAAATTTCTCGACCCAGACTAACTTTTTGATTTTTTTTTGTAATACGAATCACAGCTAATACGCTTTATTAATATGATACCACAATGGGCCCCGTACAATCTTTCATTGAATTGGCTGGATAACGAGACATCCTACAGGCCATAGTTCCTTTCCTTTTGTTTTTGAAGTAGCGTCTTTTTGGCGCACTTCTCAAAACCAAAGAACTCTGTAGACTTAAACGCCTTCAAAAACGACTGATTGAACGACTCGTCATATATAAATTTTAAACCTGGAAATTATTGCTGCCTCAGTTTCATTTAGATGCATTTAGGCAGCTAACAACCGTTGCTGTACTTAAAAACGATGATATATGATAATTTTTATATTTTTGAACTAATAATGCTACCCGGAGTTAGCTTCAGCCAGTTGGCCTTTTGTGTTAGTTTTCAAGGGTTGTCAATGGCGCGACACAGAGTCTATTATCCAGATAGCCTAAAAAAATGGTTCCCGGGGAGTGGAATTGTAGCGTGACCAGTTATTTACGAAAAAAAAGAACTGTACTCTTGCTCTTCTGTTTTTTTTTCATTGACTTGAGTGGAATAGTTTGAGTAAATCATAGATCTAATGTCAGTTTGTTTTTCGGCTATGCGAGAATACGCACAGGATAATTGAAATAATTGATATTTTTTTAACCCGTGTTTTGTTTTCAGGTCTCAGCATCAAGTCGCACCCCGACGCCATCATCGAGTGTCCCGAGGGAGAATCGGACATCCAGTTTGCCCTGCCCATGCACACTTGGGTCACATTTGCATACAAACTGTTCGCCATCAGTTCCTCAACCGTCGAGAAAAACATCGTCTCATCTGCTAGCAAACTGGGCCAGTTTGTTATTCAGCAAAGCATGAACAAAATTATCTCTTTTAATCTCTCATTCCCCATGACGGGCAACTTTTTAATCGAGCTCTACGCGACTGCTGAATCGCTTGAAAAAGATGCGAATAAGAGGGCGAGTTACATGAATCATGTTTGCTCGTATATTATTAATTGCACGAAGGCAAAGCCGGATTGCGAGGCGTTGCCGAAGACAGCATCGCTGAAGGGATTTGGGCCAGGTAGATTTTGAGTTTTGTTTTTATATATATCTTCCGATATTTTCAATTTTTGTCTTATTTTACTGCGGGTTGATTTTTTTCATATTCACAATATTCAAATTCAAAATGTTTTTGATGTTAATGATTTGTAATTAACATCAGTTTTTATAATTGTTTGTTAAGTTTTTGTATTTTTTTCATAATTCATCATTTTTTTGAATTGTATCAAAGTTTTCTCCATTTTATTCAAAATATTGGTTTCTTGGAACAGTAAAATTTAACTTTCATCGATCATATTTGACATCCCTCAGCTACGGTTTTCAGGAATTGACGCAATTAGGAAATCCCTCGTGCCTCTGAGCCACCAGAGTGGGGTCATAATCACCGCAACAGGTCAAGTTGAGGTCAGATTCAAAATGGAAAACGGACTGGTAGACTTCGCTCATTTCTTACACAGCAACAAATACGACGACGAGAAGTTGGAAAACTATTGCGTTCACCGATTTGTAGACGACGAAGTCATTTTCTCTGTCAATTTGCCCTCTAATGGTGACTTCACCCTGGATATTTTTGGAGAACTAGAAAACAAAGAGGACAATAAATCTCTTCCTCACATTTGCAGTTACCTAATTAGGTGCAACAAGCCAGGAATAACCAACCCGCCTTTTGCAGCGACCCTGGATAGCATGTTTGGAGTCAGAGGCGAAAAAAAGTACATGGACAAAAATAAAATTAAGTTCAACCCTCAAGATCCATTTATTGTCACCGATTCGGGCGAAGTAGTAATTGAAGTTGAATCGGATCCCTCTATAACTTTCCAAGGAGCGCTTCAGTACCGAACTCCGGAGGACCAGTCGGAACCTATGAACGATCACGTGTTCTTCGAAAGAACGGGAGACGTCGGCAAACTCCAACTTACATTGCCGAAAGCGGGTTTCTACCGACTCGGTGTTTTCACGCGCAAGAAAAGCAAGCCAGACGCGGATCCGGTTGAAGTTTTCAACTACTTGATTAACTGCACATCAGTGCATGCAGATTTAATTCAGTATCCGGTGCCTTTTGCAAATTGGACCGAAGATTGCGTGCTGTATGAGCCAAAACAAGGTTTGTATTTTCTCACATTGTATTTTCGCGCAATTTCAATTAAATTTACAAGTTTTGATTGAATCTTTGAACTTTGAACTTGCTCAAGGTCTCTTGCCGTACGACGAAGAGATCAACTTTTCTGTTTCTATCCCGGGAGCGGAGTCTGTTTTTGTCGTGCGACCTGGCGAAGCGAATGAAGAATACGAGAAAGTGTGTCCCCTAACAAGGTCTGCTGATGATGATGATACTTGGGATGGGAGCATCAAAACAGGAGTGAGTACTGGAGATCTGCAGCTGGCTGTGATTTACAAGAATGGAGATCATCCCCAGGGTCTGCTCAAATTCGAGGTACACTTTTTGAATATGAATTCCCATTAGCAGCCGCCCCATTACTAAAGACTTCTGTACCAACGTGAGTGTTAAACCTAGATCTGAAACACCATAGTCTGACGTCACTGATTGACCCACGGTAACCAAGTTTTTAATCCGAGTTAAATCGAGAATTAAATTAAAAGTTGTAGTGCCAGGACTACTATCAAATTCAAAAATTCTATGTTTTATAATTTTGATAATATAGTTTCTTCACAGCAGCTGAAGTTGTGTTATAGTACAATACAACGTTTTTCAATGCAAATAAAATTCAAAAATTTTAGAGAAACCGAGCGTGATGTCATTTTAATTTTTTTTATGCTATGATTTCGGTTCCAAACAAATTATCTGCGTCGAGAAAAACTTGTTGCTTCTCAGACTAATTGCAGAGGGTGATTGGAGGAGAAGCTCAACTGAATTAAATTTAATAACTTGATTTCAAAAAACAACCAGGATAGCCGGTTGCTGTGCAAGTAGCACAGAATGATCCGACCATATTCACAAAAACTACAATAAAATATTTTCGTTTCTTTTTCTTTCAATTTGAAGACGTTGCTTGTACGCGGTCTGATGAGAAAACTCTACAAACGCTTCCAAAAAATTGAATAACAAACATGAGAATAAAAAAGAGAAGATTAAAAAAGAGTTTTTCAGAAACGTTTTTTTTTTCACAAAAATTTTAAAGTTTTTCGAAAATTTTCTTGCCTACAGGTAGCGCTAAATTAAGCTAAATTTTTGCCTACGAATCGCTTTATAGTTTTCGTTTTAGTAAAATCATGTTTTTATAGCCTGACAGTTCCAGTTAACGAACATTTATTGATCGTCTTACTCGCTCGGAATTAGACTGAAACCCAAAAGTTTCAAACCGGTTTTTATCGACAAAGGGATTTTTTTTGAAATTTGTTTAACGTTGCTCAAATTACATCTGAACGAGTTTTAATATGATATGTCACTCGATACATTCCAATTGTTATTTGTGAACCTGATTTTGCGTTACAATTTAAAACACATCCGAATCCAAAGTTCTTCCTCATTTTCATTGATCGGAAGTATAATTTTGATGTTTTCATGAAAAGCATCCCCCCCCCTAACGCTATAAAAAGTACAAAAGTATAGATTTCGCTCCTTGTAACACATCAATTATGGCAAATCCGCTTCTTTCAACCAATTTGGACCGATTTCTAAGACGGATTAACTCTCCGCTTACGCGTTAATAGCGCGAAATATATCGCGCGTTATTTGTCCCAAATTGGCCAAAATGGCAATCTTTAAACCCCCATAACTTAACGAAAATTGATCACACCTGAGCTCAGGACAACAATACCTTTCGAATGATAATAAAAAAATTCCGTCAAAAATGGCTAGTTAAAAAGTCGAAATTTGTCTGAAGAAAAAAAATCCCACCCCGAGCACAAATATTCCGTTACTTTCGTACCGAAAGTCGGAACAACAAAATTTAGGCTTATTTTTTTGACTGAATGAACATTGAATTAAAGCAGTAGCTCATGCTCCTATTATGAAAACGTACCTATCGCTACTCCCTCAAGTTGGTTTCTTCATAGGGAAAATGCTTATAATAAAATTCAATTCAAGAAAGATGCTTATCCTTTAAATGGAAGAAACTCTTGTCATACAAGTTTTATAAGTGTAAATTTTGTCTTCAATGGCGTTCAGGCTCAATTTTTTACACAAAATAACCAAAAGTGACTAAGAATCTTTTGTGTGAAGCCAGATCTTTTATATTTTCTTTAAAATTTTCTGAAACTTACGATAAACTTTAACCTGTCCAAAAGTGGGCCACGAATTTTAACCACTGATTTTATCCATAGTAAATGTTTTGTAACCATTTACAAAAGTTTATGGTGTTCAAATAGAACATCTTAACTTAGATGGCGAATCTCTTATTGAAGTTTATCTCTGAGATTATTGTCGCCTAAGCAGTGGATTTTGTTAATTGAGCAAAAAAAACTGGCATAAAAAAAGCAAAAAACCTTAAAAAAGCCTTTTTTTGAAAATAAATTAGTCATACAATTTTCAGGCATGAGAAAAAGTTAATCTAAGAGGTGTCAGTTCAATTTTTGGACGTCTGTGATTATATGAAGTTAATTGACAACAAAAAGTTTTTTATTATGGAAAATGTATGATGAGAATTATTATTCAAGCAGGGGAATGAAGAGTATTATAAAACTAATGTATCCGCCCATTTCTTCGAATCCAGTTAAAACTGAGGCTAACTGTGGAATCGAATTTAAAACTAATTCATCATTACCAATACAGTGCTGATTTAAATTAACCGGACAAAACGAGTTAAACTTGAAATTTAAAACGCATTTTTCTCAAATTGGGTTGAGTTTAGGTGAACCCTTATGAAGTCAAAACTTGCTTAGAATTTTAGCAGAATTAATATGGTGTAATTTGTTTTGCGAAATTCGGGTTCGAAATTTTACCCCAAAAATGGGTCATTTTGGCTTTTTCTAGTTAATAGAAAATTACGCCAAAAGTACACAGTCAATCACAGACATAATTATATCAAAGTGAGCCCCTTACGTAGCCCAACAAACTTTAATGAGGCTATAATCTCCAAAATGTTGTATAAGTTAATTTATTTTTGTTTGATAGACAAAAAAGGTCATTTTTACTATATAAAATACCAACTTTTTATTTAAAAACAATTTTTAAACAATTTTCAATTTTTTTTGGAGAAAATACCCTTCATAAAGTTTGTTGGGCTGCGTAAGGGGCTCACTTTTATATAATTATGTCTATGATTGACTGTGTACTTTTGGCGTAATTTTCTATTAACTAGGAAAAGCCAAAATGACCCATTTTTGGGGTAAAATTTCGGACCCGAATTTCCCAAAACAAATTACACCATATTAATTCTGCTAAAATTCTAAGCAAGTTTTGACTTCATAAGGGTTCACCTAAACTCAACCCAATTTGAGAAAAATGCGTTTTAAATTTCAAATCGCGTTTTGTCCGGTTAATTTAAATCAGCACTGTAGTCTAATTCTCCAAAAGCATCGTTTGAGCATTTTTGACTTATTATGGCTAAGTTTTGTTTTAAAAAGGGAAATCAGAGCTATGAGAAGACACGCAATTAACAAGATTTCTTATCCATGGCTAAACTAAAAAATATTGAATGGTTATTGGATCCCAATAACCGTTCAATATTTTTTTAGTTTAGCCATGGATAAGAAATCTTTATGGATAAGAAATCTTTTTAATTGCATGTCTTCTCATAGCTCTGATTTCCCTTTTTTAAAACGAAACTTAGCCATAATGAGTTACAATAAGTTACAAGTGTCTGTGTCTTAAGGCGGCGTGTTTGACGAAGGTTTATCAATTAGGTGCTGAGCAAGGAAGGAACAATTCGCCTGCTTCAAAACCCGTCCAGCCAATCAGTAGAGGACATGTCGGAGAACAGGTCGGACGAGTATGAGAAGCAGTTGAAGGACAAAGAGGTGGAGTTGATCAGAAGGAGGGATGAGAGGGAGGAGCGACTGAAACAGGAGTTGCAAGAAATCAACCAGGCTCAAAAGGTGAGTTTTGTAGCTGTATTCGAGAGTATAATGGGTCAAGCAAGGAGGTTGCGTTCCTCAAAAAAGAATACCAGGATAAACAAAAATTGTTCAATTTGTTCAATCAGATAAACAAGGCAGAAAAGATACGTGTTAGTAAATATCTATAGCTTGATTAGGTTTCTTGTAGCGGTTAAGAGCAATACTCGGAAGAACCACTGATGGTTTTTCTAGTGTTCGCCGGTCAAAAACCCTGCGTGCGTCGCTGGATCAATAGTTGCATCATGAATTGATTTAAAAAATTAAATACTATTTAATTGATATAACAAAAAAAATAACTGGCTTCATGGGTCGCTTCTTGTTTCAAAAAAACTGTTCTATAAAAATTATTTTCACCATTTAAAGCCGCGCATGATTTTATTTGAAATGTATAAATAAATAGACTTTAACGTGCGCCAAAAAAAAATTTATTTCCTTAGTTACAGTAATATATTTTTTTGGCTAACGTCCGAATACACGTCCAACCAAATCAATTTTTTTGTTAAAACCGTTCAATTTTTGTTTGCTTCACAATTTTACTTGGAAATTGCTGATGACTTGAAAGATTTTTGCGTTATGAAGCTCTTATGTTGCTTCCTTTTTGAAGATAAGCCAAAGAAAAAGGTAAAGTATTATTCTAACTACCCAATCATTCTTAGTTATAAGATCGTTTTCTCAAGCATCTCAAGCAACAATAGCTTTTTTAATACTGATCAATGAAATGAAGGAATCACGTCTCAATTGCCCTTAATCATAGAACATATAGCTCATATATAGCATTTATATATATAGCTCAGAATATAAATGATTTTTAGATAATATTGGATAGCGGTAGATCTTAGCAATACAGATGGGTTTAGATGGCAAAAACTTTCTAATTTGAGTCTTTTTGCATTAAACTATGTATTTGGTTGACTAAAAAAGTTCGATAGAAAATTCTTGATTTTTTTTTCTAAATTGACCCTACCCGTACCAAAATTTTTAGATCCACCGCTCTTTGTAAATTCTTGGCTTACTTATTTTGTGGGAGGAAATATGATTATCGAATCCTTAGAAAAACCATTTTCTATATAAATATTTTGGAAATTTTTGAAGTCAATCATAATTATTTTGGAAACTATCGCAATTTTTGCGACGAATAAAAATCTATGCTATAGTTTCTTTTGTTAATTGTTTCAACGACTAAAAATAATGACCAAAAAATAGAAACCAAAATATGAAGTTTGCAGTGGCGAGCCCTGAAATTTTTCTAGAAGGGGGGCGGTTTTTCAAAAAAAAAATTGAAAGTTTTGTTGACCTTTTTTTTCGGTCGACCAATTTGATTTTCCGAGCTATCTAAGTTCGCGTTAAGACCTCATTTTGCAAATTTTTGAAAAACAGACTAAAAATGACGTTTTGAGCACTTTTTAAAAAAATGACCAAAGAGTTTTTTTAAAGTTTGCCAGCTATAAATGAATTGGTATAACTATACCAAAAAGGGGACCCTGTGGAAAAATTTGGCCACCAAAACTGAAAAAAAAAGTGTCGAACCCCCCCCCCCCCTCCTCGGCACGCTATTTAACTTTTATAAAGATAATATATATGTTTTTAAATTTGTTTTACCGTTCCGTTATTGTGTTTATTATTTTATTTTTTAACAAGAGTCGATGAACGGAGTTCAGATTCTTATATTATAGATCGCAATGATTTTTTTTTCAGGAAAAATCTTAAAATTTGTTCAGGCTTATGTTTATTTTTCGCGGCTTGACTCTGATTTCTTTTTAAGTTCAGTTCGAATTTGTTTAACTTTATCATAAAAAAAACCAGCCATAAAATGTTCTACAAATTCAAAGAGCTGTAAGGGCATCTATTTTTTTCTTTGAAAATCGAATTTTGGGATTTTTTCAAAAACAAGTCTTTTTTTGTTTACTTGCGTTCATTGGCTCTCTTCCAAATGCCTGTTGGCTACGTTTTGTTTTTATTGTTGTTTGGTTTTTCTTTATTTAACTTTTATTTCTTAGTGTGCTGCTGAGGCTGAGGCGAGGGCGGAGGCGCAACTGCTGGAGCTGGTGGAACAGAGCAACAGGATGAGTGCGGATGAGAGAGCCAGACAAAAGGCGGAGACTGACCTCCGACTGGCCAGAGAAAAGGCCGATGGTAAGTCATGAATCAAAGAACCAAGTTGACATCCTCCAGTCCGAGTCGGTTTTGAGAAGAAATTACTAATTTTTTGTGCATTGCTATTTTTGAGTGAATCAAATTCAAGTAAAATTTTTGCAAGGTTCAGTTGAGCTCACAAAAAGTATAGGTAAAAATACAGAACATGTTCAAGTCAACTTTCTCCAGTTCTCTCGACACTAAAATTTTTTTTTTCAAAAAAGAAGCAGACATTTTTAAACAAAAGTATCGATTTTTTCGTGAGAAAAACTCATTTTTTCTACCGTTCAAGTTATTTCAAAATATCCCATTTTCCCCACCGTATTCTTTTTTCAAATCTAAGTAGTAGTTTGTTCAATTTATGGAGTAGAAAATTTGCTGAGGCTAAAAAGTTGAAAAGTTTATTGAAATGTTCTTACATTGAAGAAGAACAGCATGTTTATTAACTTGTTTCTGATTGATTCGCAGAGAAGAAGAGGGACCGAATCCGGACTCAGCTGAGGGCTGCGATCAAGCAGAGGAACAAGGGGGAGTTGGTGAAAGCACTGAGGCTGTTTGAGGAGAACGAGATCCCGGACATAGATGGGGACTACTTGGAGGGACAGGAACTACTGCAGTACTTCCAGCTCAGATCAGGTATGCTCAGAACCATTCTCCTTACGCAGTATTTTTTTTGCGAAGAGACAATGGTTTAGGAGGTTTTTTTTCACGCAAAATCAGCTGCCTCAAAATACTTCCAGGATTGCGAGTCTTAATAAATTCAAAAATTGCCTCGGCGTCGCAAAGAACTGCACCGAGTTATTCCGTTTTAAACCAGCTTTCAGCAAGGCGGATAAAATGTAATAAATTATCACTTCTGAGTTGTTTTTAACCGGGTTTAAAAACCGTACTTAGGCTCCAGCTATCTAAATGGGAGCTTAATTTCAATTCTTATTCAGGCAAGAAAACGGCAGAAAAATTTAGAGCAAAAAGAAATTTTTCAATTTTTGATTTTTTTTTGCATTAATAACATTGGTTGGATTATTCTGTGCTAGTTGCTACTCTGTTTTTTAAGAAATTGCTTTGAAGTTCTCAAATTATGGAGAACGATTTCATTCAAAGCATCTGAAAAAATTTTGTTTGAAGTCTTTTATGAGTTCATTATCACTCTTTAAAAAAGTTTGCTAATTTGGTAGGACATACATCATCCTTTCTTTGTTCACATCAAGTGAATTGTTTCTCTGTTGTTCTGTTTTCAGATCTTCTGAAGGCAATTGAGGTGAGGACTGTGCCGAAATTGCAGAAGGCACTGGAGGCGGTGAAGCGGTCTAGCAGAGACATGCAGTACAAGTTGGAGTTGGAAACCGCAAGGGCCGAGAGGTCAGAACTTATCACTATATTGCAACAATTATGATTATCTACTCTATGACTCTATGTAAGAATTGTATCTAACCGCATCAGTTATAAAATATCAATTTCAATTCTTATTTTTTTGGGCCTTCCCGGCAGGTAAGGTCAGTAAATGTTTTTACCCTTTTAAACATTAAACTTTTGTCGTTAGGACACTGCAAAGTTGTTATACTTAAGTTTCGCGTGATCATTATTTACTTCAGAGTTACAAAAGATACTCAATTTTGGATCAGAATGATATAATTCATGTTTGCAAAATGACAAACAAACCACCAAAACTGTTCTTAATAAAAGTTTAATTTGAAATAAAAGTATGGTTCAAAAACTCTGAAGAGAAAAAAGGAAAACAATTTAATTCTTACTAGTTCGGTATATGCAACCGTAAGTCTTCGTTGATCTGATACTTTTTTAAGACTTTTGTCAAGAGGTTTGGTATGTAACTCTGCATACATATCTGAACCCTACATTTATTATTGACTCGTTCAGGATCTTGGAGTCGTTGCGCCACATAGAGAAGCTGCGACATGCGATCATGAAACTGGACCAGAAGACAATAGCTGAGATCAAAGGCTACTCCAACCCACCCCAAGAAGTCCACCAGATATTCAAGGCAACCCTACTCTTATTGGGCACGCCCCTCAAGGCCACTGAGGTTAGAGTTGGCGTATTTTATTGAATTGATGATGGCCTTTTGACAAACATAGCATACTCTGCAGTATTTGTCAATTTAGTCACGGTCGTCTTCATTACACCTCTTTTGGCATTCTATATTTGAGAAACAAAACTGCTGGTGTTGGAACCAAGACTTTTTACATCAATGAAGTAGTTTTTGATTTAAAAAATTGATGAAATAAAAAAAAGATTGAAAAGTGATGCTTAATGATGTTAAGTACAACGTTATACATTTACCGTCTAGTACTGTAAACATGAGACCAAACTAAATCGGCCTCTATTGAAATCTTTAAGCCGGATATAACTACTTTCCTCGGTTAATAGCAAAAAATAAATGCCGCAGTAGTCATCACAAATTGACCAAATTGGCAATCTCCAAGTCTCTATAATTTTGTTTTGCAGAAAAATTTTACAGGTAAAATATCTTTTTAAATTAGAGCTCAAGATTTTGATATTTTTCAAATAATTTCCAAAGTCTGCGAAAGTTGTAACAAAAGTGTAAAGTATATTAAAAAGAACGGGACATCTCCTATCAGAGAAAAAATCTCACGTCTATTCTTTTGAATCGCTTCTATTTTTTTTGAACTGATAATATAATAATTACCTGGAAAATCAAGTTTTGCAACTAATTAGAGTTCGTATTTGAACAATTGTCGTCAAGCAAGCAGGTGTTATTGGAATAAACATGAACTTGCTTCCCTTCAATTAATTTCGAACGCCAATTAAAATGATGTGAATTTCATACACATAAAAACTGGAGGCAAAGCAAACATAATAAAAAAACTAGTATTTTTAAACCGCGCTAACTTATCATTGGTGCAAGTGATAAAAATTGATTTTAATTTCAACACTGGGTATCAAAATTTTCAGAGTGCTAGAAAATATGAATGAATTTGTCAGAAACATTTATTTTGAAGGTTCGACTTGGGTTTGGTCTAAAAATGGAAGTCATCGAGCATGAATTTCTCTCATTTTATTCATAATACGGAATATTATGTATCAAAATACTGATAAACAAGTTCGTCTTGACGAAATTTCCGACTTCAGCTCAGTTGTCTCAAACATATGGCGGAAAAAATTTGATAAAGCTATAAATTTCGAATTTTGCTTGTTATTCCGCTCATTATCAAATACTAAGTTTTTAAATTAAAATGAGCTTTTTAAGGAATTGCTGGGTTTAATCAGGAGCTAAAAAAACTTGGGGTCTTTTTACTTATTCCGCCCAAAAATCAATATTTCAACATCTTGAACTGTAACTACTTTGCTTCAATCTGATTGGCGAGAATTATCCAGCAAATTTCAGCACCATATCAAAATGTTTTCTTCACAATTATAAGTCGACTCGTAACTAAGCCGATTTAGACAAAACTATAGAATGCTTAGTCAACTATTCAAGTTTGTTTCGCATTAAGGTGCAAAATTTTATGCAGACTAGTAAAAAAAACGGAAAAACGACACACCAGAAAACAAAAAAAGTTCCAGGAAAAATTGACTACATTTATATCTGCTCAAAATTCGGTCTTGTTTGAAATCGGCTAATGTGATTGCAATTGCATTAAGCAAACCAATCACAGCGAACAGTGTACTTGTTTTTTTGCTTTCATACATTGAGAAACACCAAATCATTAAATAAAGAAATTTGGGCGGAATAAGTAAAAAGACTCAAAACTTGCCCGATTGCATTTTAGGATAATGTTGATTGCGGAATATTACGCAGCTCTTAAATATTTCAACTAGCTTCACATTTCAAACATCGTAAAAAAATTTTTAAGTGCGCGCATAAATAAGTCCAAGTGCACAAATGAAAGCAAGCTTTTCAAATTTTTAAGGACCGTTCGGACTGCCCCACAAGATCAATGGAAAAACAATTATAATTTTTTAAAGTCCAATAGCTTGCCTCAGGTCAATTTGGATTGTTTTTTTTGTGCCGGATTACATCTTCTCTTGTGTTTTATTCCAGTGCCTTTTTAAGTTAATTTTCTTAAACGTGCCTTTTTAATGGGTCAAGCACGGCTGAGCTCGTTCTTTTCCGTCGAACACGGTCGAAACATATCGTGCTTGGGTCAAGCACGGTCGAGCACAGATTTTTCGGTCGAACATGGTCGAAACATACCGTTTTTCGGTCGAGGCGGTCAAAAGATACAGTGAGCACCTCAACCCGGGCCTCAATCGCCACTTTTCCTGTTCTTTTCTAGAAATGGATTGACTGCCTAGTCCACATTGGCAAACTAGGTCGGGACTCTGTAAAAAGAAGAATCAACACCTTCAACATTGCCTCGGTGTCCAAAGAGACGGCGGAGAAAGCCAACAGCATCCTCAAAGAGTACTCCACAAACCAAGTCAGAAATATATCTTCGGGCGCTGCTGCTTTCTACGTATGGGTAAGAAGTGCTTTAACTCATTTTTTGATATATTTTAAGCTATCCTTGTTTACTTAATGATGCATGCATATGTTAAGTTAATGATGTATTTCGTCCACACTTTAAGCAACTGATTAGTTGTTTGAGAGTTTTCCTTAAAAAAAATTATTGTTTCTTTTTCAGTCCATAGGCGTGATCAAGGAGATCTACGACAAGGAGCGTGAAGAGATTGAGGCACAGCAAATGGGTGACCAAATACTCGATGACGAAAATGATGACTCATTTTGATTTGGCTCTTTTGTCAAAATCCGAATCATTCAATTAACTAAGTGTTTTTAAGAGTGTAAACGTAGGATTACTCAATTTTGTTTTTTATATAATGTTTATTCTTCAATTAAATAAAACTGAGTTCTCAAAAGAATTTTTCACGTTCGAGGAAGAGGCATGCCAGTTTTGGAAGTGATGAAACAGCAAAACAATATGATCTTAACAAACCGGCCAAAAATATGCATGAGCCTGAACTATCTGAACTATTAATTCCAGTTTCATGGTGTGTAACCCACAAAAACATATACATAAAAAAATTGTTCCTTGATATACAGAAAAAAATGTTCCTGGACAGTTAAAAATTTAGAGCCAAGGAACTTGACATTTATTCGAGTGAGTGCTATAGTGCCAACCTCTGGCAGTGCAAACATCCGAAATAAACAACACATCTGCACGACATCTTAATAATTTATGTGAAGCTTGGAGCGTTTTTTTCTGGAGTCCACTTACCTTGTGTCTGTTTTCTGGATTTGATCAATAAATTTTTTCAGGTTTCTTATTTATTTACTTCACGTGTTTCGCGCAAAAATTGATTGGATTTGTTTCGTTCGACTCCCGGAAATATAATTTTTGTTTTTCACTCAAAATGAGCATAGGTTAGATAAAAAGGCTTACAACTGCGAGTTTTTTTGTGCCTTTCTTTGTACGAGAGCTACCCTCAGTTTTAGACTTTTTGGTCTAACTTTTAGTAGAAATACTTGTTTAGCTCTCGTGTGAAAGAATGGGTTGTGAATGGTGAAGATATTTTACCAATTCCTTCGCCACCAACTTGATGGATTTTGTTCGTCAACCATTCATATAAACAGACCATTTCTATATCAGGGCGAAGCTCTGAGTGTTGCAACTGCCCCGTAATTGACATTGAGTAGTTGTTGACAAAAATACTAAAAAATCCTAAATTTTGGACAAAAACCAAACATCAAAAATGAATATTTGAATATCACAAAATTCTTGCGAGCGATTAGCTTGCCTTAATTCAATTTGGATAGTTTTTGTGAAGCAAGATAACTCGCCACAAATTAATTAATCCTGCTACGCTTTCAGCATCATTAATAAAGTCATTGGTGCACAAATAAATTAGTCCAGGAAGCATGGACAAACTTGTAACTTTCTAACCAGCAGAACTTCACTTAAAATAATCGAAAGTGAAATATATTTTTCAAAATTTGAGCTAGTCGATATTTTTAGGAGTCGATATTTAGTCGGGTGTAATTTTTCTGTTAAAACTGTTATTTTGATTGTCGAATTTTGACTGAATAAAACAAAACCCACCACAAGCATAAATCTTTGGCAGTTTCTTAGCCAGGATGACGAGTTGAGCTTTAAATTGGACAACTAGCATTGCATCTAGTCTTTTAATTAACATATCACTGTGTACATAAATTTAATTTTACAAAAAATTGCAGGCGGACAAAATCAGAAAAAGTGTCCCACAATATTATTTCCCCGCCCGCAAAATTAAGGTTGCCCTTGTTTGAACTAAGCTTACTGCTTTGATCCTAAAATTTTTTTTATTTTGTTCCAAAAAAATTCGACAAAAACAAAAAAAAACATAATATTAATCCGAACACGCACAAATTAACAATCTCTTTTTTTACTCTGTTTTTTTCTTAGTCATCAAGTATGTTTCTAGCTATAAGCGAATATAACAGCAAAACAACATTTTCAGTTGCTGACTTTCCGTTTTTTAAACCATTTTCGACCTCCCTAATTAAACGAAAGAATTCTTAAAAGCTTAAGGCATCTCTTGCAAGCAGCAGAATTCAATTACATAGCAATAAATCAGCCCTTTGATTTAACTGTCAAACTTTTCTTCTAAACGTCAGCTATTACCTTTTTTTTTCAAAGCTTCACTATCGTTAGACTAGCAAAAACTAATGTGTTGATTAGAAAACGACCACCAACTCTAAAGCCTTAAAATTGTTTCACACTCTGCTCTCTAAGTTTTCGTAACTTCAATTTTAGGGCCTTAATTGGAAATAATCAGGAATCAAATTCTTTGGAGAATATATTGTCGTGTTATTTTCCTCATCTAATTGAGAAATGGAAACAAACTGCAAAAGCATTATATAAGACGCTGGCATCCAGTTTTTGACTCATTCTTGAAGTAATTAAGAAAAATTGCAACACGACTCGTACCAGTTTTTATCAAATTAATTCATTGCGGCAGCCTTGAAAAATAAGACTGGAGGCTGGATGTGGTCGGAATCAGGTTCAAGAATAATTGGCCTAAGAAATCGAAGCTGCTCATAAGATTAGATTATGTTTTCTTTACAAATCTTGCGGAGAATGATTTTCATAAAACTTCAAACTTTTTTGAAGCTTTATTGTTTTTCCAAAGTTTCATCAATTAATTTAATTTAAACAACTACAAAGAAATTAAAATGCAGTCGGAACATTCAAAGCTGTGTCCTGATGCGAGCAGTTTTGTTAATCTAATCTTATGAGCAGCTTCGATATCTTAGGCCAATTATTCTTGAACCTGATTCCGACCACATCCAGCCTCCAGCCTTATTTTTCAAGGCTGCCGCAATGAATTAATTTGATGAAAACTGGTACGAGTCGTGTTGCAATTTTTCTTAATTACTTCAAGAATATATTGTCGTGTTATTTTCCTCATCTAATTGAGAAATGGAAACAAACTGCAAAAGCATTATATAAGACGCTGGTATCCAGTTTTTGACTCATTCTTGAAGTAATTAAGAAAAATTGCAACACGACTCGTACCAGTTTTTATCAAATTAATTCATTGCGGCAGCCTTGAAAAATACGGCTGGAGGCTGGATGTGGTCGGAATCAGGTTCAAGAATAATTGGCCTAAGAAATCGAAGCTGCTCATAAGATTAGATTAACAAAACTGCTCGCATCAGGACACAGCTTTGAATGTTCCGACTGCATTTTATTTTCTTTGGAGTTGTTTGAATTAAAATAATTGATGAAAATTTTAAAAACAATAAAGCTTCAAAAAAGTTTGAAGTTTTATGAAAATCATTCTCCGCAAGATTTGTAAAGAAAACAGTGATATAAGTTTCGACGCACAGACCATTCGCCTAGAAACATTACACCCAATTTGAAATTCGTACAACTCGGCCAAGTTGAAATTCATACAATTCAGCCAAAAGTATACAGACATTTCAGCCAGAGAGAACTCAGCCAATATTTCAAAATGCTAGATTGGGAAGAAAAAAGTCGAAACTGGAGTTAGTGCTCGGTTAAAGGTCACTTCGCGGTGATAACCGGCCCTTAATTTTGTATAGAGTTCTACCCTCTGTTGGCAAGCTCGCGACACATTGACGCGACTGTGGCGGTCACTATTATTGGCTGAATTGTCTCTGACTGAGTTGGCCGAATAGCTTTGGCTCAATTGTCTGAACTTCATAACGGCTGAATTGTCTTGTGTCAAATTGTCTGGGTGCGATATTTTGCATATAGCAAATCATAAAATAGATCATAAAACATGCCTCATTCCAATTTGGAACGACTTTTAGAACGAATTATTTCTCTGTTTACGCGTTGTTAACACTTGTAGGTGAAAAACCGTTTGAGTTTTGAGCTAAGGACAACAATGCTTTTTGAATAATAAAAAACTTCCATCAAAAGTTGCCTGTCCAAATTTTTCGAGAGAAATCGAAACTACCCGATCACATATTCTGTCATTATTCCGACTTTTGAAGAAAATGCGGAATATTTCTGCTTGGCATAGTTTTTTTTTCAGTCAAATTTTGAATTTTCAACTAAGCATTTTTGACAAAATCTTTATACCATCTGAGAGATATTGCTGTCTTGAGCTAAAACTCAAAAAAATATACCGCCTGAGATTGTTATTCGCACAATTACAGGCGTTGAAAAATTGCTAGTTGGTCAAGTTTGGGATATTTAGCAAGTGATGAAATGCTTGCTTAAAACACGAGCGTAGGCTGCAAAGTTTTGCAATTCAAAATGAATTGAGACTAGCAATTTGATTCTTTTACAATTAAAAGAGACGCTAAACGCAATCTTTTATGTCACCTAGGAAATAGGGGGATAAAATGAAGAAAATGAATATTTGACAAAATGAGAAATTTTTTTTTTTAATTTTCTTCATTTTATCCCCCTTTTTCCTAGGTGACATAAAAGATTGCGTTTAACCAAAAACTTTTTAATTGGCCCTACAAAGCAGTCGAAATGATCAGTGCCTCGCTCCGACATACAAGCGAGGAGACTTGTTTTCTTCCAAAATAGTCAAAACACTAGACATGGCGCTAAAATTTTCCATAGAACTGCTTACGGATAATTGATAGAAGCTGGAAGTACAAAAAAGCTATCGAATCTTTCCACTTGGTTTACTGCTACAAGGCTAGAAAGTTCATCCACACTTTGCAGTGGCCTCCAAAGTCACAGTTTTTATTCCCACTAGAGAATGTGTGGAAACTACTTGGGGGCGTTGTAGATGTAAGCCGAAAGTTTACGATTTACATGGGAGCATACATGGCAGCATATATGGGAATATATACAAACTAGATCGCTCGAATAGCAGGGCAAAATTCTGAATATTCTGAATGCCCCTTCATCCATATCGAAAATAGTTTTTGGGAAACAAAAAATTTGAAAACTATATGTTTAGGACAATATCAAAGATCAAGTGTGAAAAATTGAATTAAACGAAATTAATGTTTTTTTTTAGCTAGCCGCAATTCAATTTGGAGCAAATTTGTTGTTCGGGATATTTCGCCACGCATAAAAAGTTCGCCTTGCATTTCAAGCATTATCAATAAAATCTTCAAAGCCAGCATACATTAGAGCATAGCGCTGGCAAATTGGAAATTTTAAAACTGCCAGAATTAGCAAAAATCATTTAGATGTGAAAGCAATATCTTTTTTTAAAATTGAAGTTGAAGTTTTTTTTTCGATTGCCAAACATTGACGGAATAAAAAATTTTTCCCAAGCAAAAGCATTCAGCTTTCTTCAAAAGTTGGAACAATAAAATCCTGAATATGTATATAAACTCAATAGGCTCGGTTTACGAGGGCTTTGAGATGTGTTTACTCGTCTCGGTAAGTTTGCTTCCTAGCCAAGAACAATGTCTGAACACCAGATATCTTCTCAACAATCTG